AACTCTGCTTAGTACCTAAGATAGAAGATTAACCTTAAAGAAAGACTTCCAAAGTCATCAACAACTACATGGAATTATTAATGTTTGACGTGTGGAGCTACCACTTACTAGATATGCGTTATTATACATAAACACACACTCGATAATTTACTACTATTTTATTATCTTTGGGAAATTAGAAGAATACATATTCTATTTAATAAAATGAATATCTCATGCTTAAATTTTCAAGCTGAGATATTTTGTTAAAAAAATAAATAAATTTACACATTAATCTACAATCTCAATAGTAGCGTACATGGTAACAGAAACATGTGTGAAGTTAGTGACATATTATCTTGAAGCCTTGATGAGTCCTTCAACGTTTTAAAGCTCTTCTCCTTTATACTCCATTTACTTGTTTTGTTATTGTAATTATCATTATCATTGTTGACCTCGATTCTTGAATCTTCAACATTGTTAACAAATCTCTAGGCCTCCGGGTCCAGGTAAGCACGATTCTTGCACACTAAGACAAATCGTTAGTCACACTAAGACAAACCGTTAGTCACATGTGGCTTCCTTTGATAGTAATGGAGTTGGTCGTGCACATTCCGATGATCAAGTCAATTGAAGTGATACGTGCTTGAGTATGGGAGATGCTTTGACGTGAGCCTCCCATGTAAAAAGCAGTTCGGCTTTGGGGAAAATAGTAACAACAAGGAGGGTAAAGTCATAGCTTGAGAGTTTAAACTTACATTATCTATTGAATGATATATTGTGTGAGTTTTTATAGTAAAAGAGAATCGAAATTGACCATAGGTACATGAAATGACTATGTTTTGAGCATTCATGGTGCATCATAAAAAGGACGTTAGAAAATATATGATCCAAAGTTTACTTCAATGTGCATGTGAAGAGGTCTTTCAAGTTCCGGTCTCATGTGAATTTAAACATGATCATAAAAAAATATACTTGCTAAGTTGACTTGAATGTCTTTCTTTAATGGTAACGTTTTTTCATTAGTTATGTAATAAGAAGACTTCATTGTTCTATTACAAGTTGTCTGGTCACTGAATCCATTACTAATCATTTTTGATAGAACATTAAATTAATTAACTATGATCAATTTATTTTATGTTGAACCTTTTTTTTTCTGTTGTTACATATACTGAACTTCAAGCATTCGGCTGGTAGCTTTAGAACTTTTAGTCAACATTTATGCACTTTGACAAGTTAGTTTTAGTGGTAGGTTAATAAAGGTGTGCACATTATCTTTGAAAGATAATTTTTTTTCTTTTCACATTACCAGGTTTGAGAATACATTATACATATATTATCAAAAATGATTTGCGGGGAAAAGATTGAATGAAAAAGTGATTGTGTTTTAAATTGTCAAATGGTAAAATGTCATGTGGTATTATGTAATTTCTTATAGAAATTTTGACGTAGATTCAAGATCCTAACATCATTTGTCTTGTGGTGTAATACATGCATATGGATACTTACAGTAAAAATATTCAAACAATGTATCAACATTCATCCATGCAATAGTTTGATTGTTAATATAAACGTTTTACATTCACTTTTTTTCGTTGTTGAAAAAAGGGTAACTAAATTTTAGTTGCTTCAATAATATTTTATCGACAAGAATAATTAATACAATAACAAATCAAGTAGTTGTTGAAATAAAATTAATCAATTGTCTATTTAATTTTTAACGACTATTTCTTTCGTTATTGAAACGAACAGCAACTAAAATTTGGTTGCTTTCAATATATTTTTAACGACAAAAATAGTTATTACAACAACTAAACAATTGATTATTGAATAAATAAATAAATAATCGGTAGTCAATAAAAATCTTTTACGACCACTTATTTAGTTGCTAGTTAAAATGATACATTTAGCGACCAAATGTATTCTTTGTACACATTCGTCAACACCTCTTTGCCAACCAACGGACACCAATTGATTTTGGTAATTGAATGTGATCAACTTGTATACAAATTAATTATGTCTAAATTTATTACAACTTAGGATGTGCTCCTTTAGTCATCCTACTTCTTCAGACTATTTACAAATTCGTTATGTTTATTAACAACAAATATTTACAGCAATATTTGTCTTTATATCAACCAAATTTAATGTTGTCCATATATGACAATTACGATAATGAGTGACTAGAAATATCATTAAGCATTACTTTTAGGTCATGTTTGATTGCACTTCAATTCCATGGAAGATTGCAACTTTTCAGATTTTTGCATGTTTGATTGCCCAAATTTTCCATGGAATTGGTGGGAACAGTTTTTCTAGGCAACTTTATTTTATTTTATTTTAATTTTTTGGGCAATTGAAAAAAATTCTATCCCAAATTGTAACAAATTATATCCATATAATGGACCATTTTCATGAAAAATAAAGCCAAACGAACACAAAAAGATCCAAAATTTTAATATTTTTCAGGTGAAAAATTATACTAATCAAACACAATTTATTGACAATTCTCAGTAAAAGAAGTTCTAAACAATTCAATTCCCTAAAATTCATTTTCTCTCCACCTAAATTTCATTCTCGCAATCAAACGGAACCTTATATCTTAGGCAGATATGGCAACCAAAATTACTAACCATCTTGCGAATAATTATAGTATAATAACGCTGTCTAAATCTCCATGCATTATTGCATAATAATGTTTATTAGACAAATTAGGTACTTAATATTAATTAGAATTAATTAAAACTAATGACAGTCCTTTATTTTTTCTTGTCCTTGTCTAATATCACGAGTGCTAAAAATCATCTTAATGTATGGGTGTCCAACTAAAATGCATTTTCGAAAATCAAGGATATTTACATTTGATTGTTTAAGCAAACTCACGTGTATTTGTTAAAAAAATTGAACCCTGAATTCGATTGTGCACATGGAATGACATATGCTTTGATTATTCATAGTGCGTCATGTAAATACTAAAATCTAGTTAATTAATCAATTTGTCTAGTTACATGTATTAGGTAGATTTTTCTAAATAGTCAGAACTTCCTACAGACAGTTTCAAGTACAATTCCGATTGAGATAGATTAACTTTCTAAATTTATAATATATTGTGGAAATAAATAACAATGGACATTAGATATAACGTGATAAACCTTTAAAGGAATCAATCACTGGCCCCATTGTTTTTTTTTAAAATGCCTTTTGACGTTTTGAAGAAGTAGAATCAAACCATCCGATCTTTATCTTATCGCTACTTCACTATTGCATTCTGCCGCAACAATTGCTTAGATTAAAATTCACTATCATAACTCACGTTAACATCCTGATCTTTGAATAGGATTATATCATTCACGCTCATGTGTGTTCTCTACAGTTATGATTGAAGAACTCGATGCTTGCTTTGAGATAGTTCGATAGAATATGAGTCGATTAGAACTCACTGGAGAAGGTTAGAAAACTTTTGAACTTGGTGCTGCAGGTCGGATGTAAGCTGTTTTCTCTCAAAGCCTTCGAACGTCCCTTAATGATTTTCTCTACTTATGTAGAGACTCTTTCAAGACACAAACGTCTCTTACCTAAAGTATAAAAAATTTGGACGGTAAGAATCATGTGGAATATATTTGATATGGTCAATAATTAAATTAAATAATATTTTGATCAGTTAAAATAATTTTTCAATATTTTAATTATTTGATCAATCAAATATGTCCAAAATCATAAGTGTATGTTTCTTTATATACTGCTATAAAGTAGGTAAAGATTGCATCTTGTTTAGGGTTCGGAAACCCTAAAAATCGCAACCAAGAATCTGTTAATATGTAGCACCCAGTAAATTCGGATTGACTCGCTTATCTTGTTTTTGGACTTGCAATTTGTTTTGATATTTAAACAATTATTCTAATTTAAACAAGTCAATAAATAAATAATAAGTAAAAATATAAAATATACTTACTCACACGTCATAAAAAATGATGTAAGAAAATATACTGTACATGTACACTGAACATGCATCGAAGTCTGTGCACAAGTTTTTGTTCCAACCCAACGCATGTGAAGAGATCTATAACCACTAACAGCAAGTCATTATCCAATTTCCAATCTCGAGGAAATTTACTGGCAACTTGCATGTGAAGAGGTCTTTTAATTACGGTCTAATGTGAATCTCTACACTGTCGTAAAAAATTATG